GTGCGTGGCATTTACACCTAGCTGTTGGGACTTTCATGATAGGGGTTGGTGAATGTCCCTCAACACCAACCACTACTGGTCTCCTTGAGGCTGACTTTTTTGTGAATTATAGCGTTTGTTATAGCGCGACTGTGGAAATTAAGTGTATCGCAAAGTTCTATTCAGAAAGAATAAGCCAGTTTTATTTAAGAAAGGACTTGTATCGCTAAAGTTTCTTCGGAAAGAATTTTTACGGCAAATTAACTAACGAACGGAGACGTAACTATAATATTATCTTACCAATTTGTAGGGTTTGAAACAAAGAACAGATTGTGATCCGATTGATTGGTCGGTTTTATAATTTTCTTCACTGAAGTTACACAGTATGTTTATTGGATCGGAATAAACTAGGAAGTGAAAAATTCACAATTATTTTTCACACCTTAGACTGAGTAATAAACCCAAAAGTAGAACACTGAATGTTTACCATATTAGATAATTTAAACTTTATTATAAGACTATACTCATCTAAAATAACGCACCTAAACAAAATGCTACTACAACTACAGTCGAACAAAAAACAAAACAAATTATTAAACTGTAACAACAACAGAAATCCAAAATATAAATTTCAAAGAATTAGAATACAAGTCTTATTAGTAATATTACTTACAAAAAAAGTAAATCCGTGCTTTGCCATAAGTTGATATAAACGTAAATACACAATACAACATAAATATCAATGTTATTAATTTCAATAAATAACAGATTTAGGAAAATGAAAAACCCTAATTCCGAAAAAAAAAGTGTGTAATTGTAATTAAGTACAAAGCTACACCATGGGTTATCTGTGGTCTGCTCACCACGGGTATCGAAACCCGGATTCTAGCCTTGTAAGTCCGCAGAAATACCGCTGTGCTACTGGGGGGGGGGGGGGGGAGCGAAAAAAGTCTTCCAAAATTAAACCACTTCTAACGTCAATAACAACATCAACCAACTAAGACCAATAATTCGTTCTAACACTATCTCGGGAATTAATTTTTTGAGATCAAGGAAGTGTATATATATTTTTTGGTTAGATCACGAAGTTATATCCCATGTGACTGGCTAATTTACATAACCTTTCACAACATTAATATATGTATGCCACTACTAGGGGGAGGTTGTGTCTGTTTCATAATACAAAAATACTCAAATTGAACTTGCTCTAGATAAAAGGTGAGTGAGCGCTTTAATATAGCAAAAAATATATTATCGAACTAACAATTGAATGAATAATAAATGAACGTAAACAAAACTTTAACAAAATAAATATAAAATTCGCTATTTCACACTATAGTTTTTGTTTTTTTTAAAAAAAAGGTTATTTATACCAGACAGCTATCGTTTAAATAATATGAACAATATAGTTTTAAATTACGCATGTATTGTTATGTAAATTTCCAATTCTTAATGTCAAATATATAGTTAATATTAACATTAGTATGGTGCATTTAGTCAGTTGAAACTGAAAGACGGAAGCAATAGTATTCATGAATTAAAACAAGTATTCAAGTAAAATGATCTGTGCTAGATGAAATAAACAATACTAAATTTGTATAATATTAATAATGAAAAAAAAACATCATTAATATTACTTTAAAGTAAAATATTTTGCTTAAACACGTAATTTACGTGTAAAATATGGCTAAAATTAGAAAGAATTTGAATTGTTTCGCTTACATCATACGCATGCACATTACTGCCCAAGGGATGGGATTTGGATACAAATAGAATTTGGCAGCACACCAGAATAGCGTATGAAATTGAAATATTTTACCATAAATTAAAAAAGAAAGAAGATGCGAACAAAGTTATAAGCCTAGATAATATTCGTTAGAATATTGCAATTTAACTTTTTATTATTTGTTTAACTATGATGATGTATTTATTTTGATAGATTGTTTGCAATTCCACCGGCATTGTAATTTATATCAATACTTCAGACATTATAATTTATATTATTGTTATCAGCGCTAAGAAAAATTCATGATTAAAAATACTGTAAGTTTACGACATTATAATTTATATTATTGTTATCAGCGCTAAGAAAAATTTATGATTAAAAATACTGTAAGTTTACGACTAACCCAAATCTTGTGTGGGAGGTTTACAAGTTACAGTTAGAATTACAGAAATGCTGTTTTATTTATTGGCTCTCCAGAGATTCTAAAATGCAAAACTAAAAGGGGCCGTTACTAGAAGAAGATCATGACGACAGAAGTGAATCCCATGTTGGTCAATGTCTTTAACAGGTGTAAGGGATTTGTTCTTAATTTGGGTTTCTGTTCAAAAATGTAAGAGACATATTCTAAAGATTATTAGGTTTTTATCCAGCATCTTCTAGTTCTAGGCATTATCAAAATGTTAAGGCTAGGAGTAGGAGATGACCCTTATATAAGTTATAAAGGCCAAGTGATGTTCTATCATGGTGCTTTCGTTTGCATTCTTATGTTTTTGAACATTATTATGTATAGACCTCTTAAAGCCACTGACATAAATCATAAACAACAGAGCCTCCAAAACTGAATCCTGAGACACCTACCTTTACAAGCCATATTCTTTCTGGTAATTGTTTTCATTATTTTACTCACCACTTGATGCTTCTTACCACCAAATCTGTGTACTGTCCATTTTTTCAGAGATTTCATTAGAATCAGTTGTATTAGGTATGAGACACCTTAATATCAAAGGCTTTCTAAGAGTCATGATGAATTATATATGCTGGAATAATCTCATAGTAAAAACTGAAAGCATTAGCAAAATTTCCAGCAAACAAAGAAACCTGCAAAACTCTTCTTAAACTATGCTGAGAGCTGTTACTATACATGTAGCTTCTGACAACAGATCCCAGTATCTTGCTTGCTATAGAAGTTGTACTGATAGACTTATGTTTTATTTTTTGTTCTCTTAGTTCATATTTTAAGAAATAGGTATCACAGTTGTAAACTTTTAAGTCAATTCCCCAATATCAAGAGACTAGTAAGTTTCTTCAAGGTCTTAGGATCAATTTTATTAAAGCTCACAGCTTTATTCTTAAGCTTACTACCTAATCTTGAACATGTTCTACTGTGTTCAATTGGTGGGTAGATTCTTTTGGATTACTTACTTAGTAAAAGTAACGTTAGATCCAGTTTACATAATGATAGCTAATTATTTCTTCACTAAACATATTAACTCAGTGACTCAATCAATCTTTTCACGATCAACAACTACTCTATCACAGATTCTTGTAATTATACTGAACTCTTGCTTCCATCAAGTGTGTAAAGTTTCTAAATTCTATGACTACTTTTATGAACTTTCTAGATCTAGTGTTATCACATGATTAGCAGCTCCTTCTACCAAACAACTAAATCACAACATTGAAAATGTAGCTTATAATAATACATAGTAATATAAAAGCAGAAGACATTTATAACCTTGTATTAACATAACTATAAGAAAAGGTTTTATGACAGAAGGGATTTGACCCCTTTGGTCCACTCCTCATTCTAAAAAAAAATGTTTTGCTAATTTATTTTTAAACTAACTTAATTATAGCCCTACATACCCATAACAATGTACCTGTTCAACAGTTTTTTTTTTAATAATTCAAACTAACAATACAAATCATTTTGTAAATCAAATCTTTAGTTTATCATTAAATGAAAATAATCTTTTTGGGGTAAGAAAGTGTGTACATATAGGGTTTTCAAGCTTAGATAGTTAGACTTATTACCCAAGATTTTCAAGCTTGTATTTCCAGTAGAGCTGGGTGATTAGTGGAATTTGATAACCAAATAATTGTTAGGCACATTATTCAGTAACATTTAACTAATGAATTATTCTCACATGAAACATGTATAGTTTTTAGTAATTAAAAGTTGTAATAATCTGAAACACTAATTTCAATGGGTTGATTATTTTTGTGACATTAATGGATTATGTTACATGACATGATATAGATGCTCATAGGTATTTGGTTGTATCAATTAATTGAGTTAATCACCTAACTATGATTTCAAACTTTTTAATTATTGTCATTTAAGCAGAAAACCCATAGTATAGATGACTGTGTAATACTCTAACAATTTCAAACATTTAAATCTGTCCCCTCTTAATTCTTCTGTATTCCACAGTAAAAAAGTCCAAAATACTTTGCCTCACTTCCAGCTTATATGTAAATGATTTAAACCATGCATTATTCCTGTAACATGTACTGTCTTTTGAAAATTGTGAAACCCTTCTTGCACTAAAGGGGACCAAACTCCAGGTGAGACCTATTCCTCAGAGCTGTGTAAAAGGTTGTAGTAATGTTCTTGCTTTCAGATTAAAAATTATTATATATAGAACCAACTAAACACTCAGTAGAAAGTTTTAGGAATTCTATAATAGTAGCACTTTAATCAATTCATTACAAATGATCCTGTCACACAAGAAATACTGTAAGTCCTTTACAAACTTTGATGCCCCAAACACATCATTTCGAATTGCTCAATATTAAAACCCATCTTTCATAAACTGACCATTCACTTAGATGGTGAACAAAATTTTGGATAGGAGAAGTATTGTCTACAGAATTGGATATTCCCAAAATTTTAATTGTAATATCATCAGTAGATTTATCATGTATACTTCATGTACTGCCCAAACAGCCAACCAAATTATTAAGGCAAATAATAAATAACAAGACCTCTGAGTGACCTTGCTAATCACATTTTTCCAGTCAGAAAAAGTGTGCATTTATCATCACATTTTGCTTTCTACCATTAAGCCAGTTTTCAATCTAGTTCTCCCCTTTCCACCAACCATATAAACATTAAACTTTACTCATGAGTGGCATCTTATCAAAGGATTTCCAGATTGTCCTGATGAAAAGAGGAGGAGGCCCTATCAAAAACTGTGACAAATGGCTTGAACAATAAATATATTTTTCAAACTATTCTGTGAATCACTATATAAGCAAGTATCTTCCTTTCACTTTTTCTAGATAAATAGACAGGAATGGAGAATTGCTAATGTTATTCCTAATTTTTGAAGGGGAGTGGTGAGAGTTTTTGGAAATTATAGGGCAATTAGTCTTAATTCTGTAGAGGTAAAGGTGGGGTGGAGTTTATAGGGTGCTGTAGATGCGAGGATTGGGTTATGTTTGAAAATTGTAAGCAGGATAGTGTGTGTGTGTGTTTTTATAGCAAATCCACATCATGCTATCTGCTGTGTTCACCAAGGGGAATTGAAAACCTTACTTTAGCATTGTAAATTCATATAATTAGAGCAGGATAGCAATTTGTAGGGAATTTGGGGAAAATACAGTACTCTTAAACTTGCAGACTTTGCTTACTTGAGGATAGGTTAGAAACAGCTTTGAGGAAGATTATTCTACTAAAGGAAAATATCAGATTAGAAGCATAAATAATGGAAACAACACAGGAAATGGATAATGTTAGAATAAAAACTGCTTTAGGAGAGATTGAGGAGGAGAGTGCTGGATTTATGTGGGTTGCATAGTAAATAATTGTTATAAAGGCAGGTTCAACTAACATTAAAGTACCAGTCTTAGTTAATTAGTAAAGTTTTCAGATGGCATTAAAATCTTGAGTATTTCCAGCTGTATTGAGGACGTAAATGATCTGGGGTTATCGTAATTTGGATCACATATGTGTTATAGATGTAAACCCATTCAAAAGTGCAACTAAAGAAATGGATCTCAGTTGCTTCAAAGAAATAATAATTACACATGTTGTTTGTCTCTATTTTTTTGGTTTTGTGTACCAAGAGTTTAGTTAGGTCAGTTTCAAGTATCTTTATATTTATAATGCTTGGAGACAGCTTGAATGGGTAATGA